GTCTCAGCTGTGTCGATTTTTCTGTTGGTGTCTCTCCTAGTTTCTGGTGTCAGCAGCGATCCTTAGTTCCTTTGCTTGTAGACAGGTCCTCACATGGCGTCTGTCTTCCCGCTGTGTGTGTCTCCGTCTGTTCTGCTCTTTGTATAACTCAGAAGTGATTAGGTTTGGGATCCACCCTACTCTGGTGTGACCTAATTAATATAACAAAAGGAAAACCCTGTTTCCAAACAGGATTGCATCCACAGGTACAGGGGCCAGGAATTCAACACATATTTTTAGTGGGACACGGTTCAATCCATAGCAGTTACTTTCTCCCAAAACTCTTCCCCTGTTTCCCCCCAACAGATGACTTCTTACCTGATACTGAGCTTTCTTTACATGTCTCTAGAGACACTGACTTTACTCTGCTTGTATTTCAGTACTGGCTTAGCCACCCACCCTCCTACTCCTTCTTCAGAGTAAAGATTTTTCTGATTCTAACAAACACTAACATGGAAGTGAACATTCAGCCACAACAGCCAAGCTCCAGGTGAGTTTTGAAAGTGCATTAACTCTACGTCCTTTTCATCTAGAGCTGGGTACTTGGATGAAGATCAGATGGAAATGCTATTGGAGCGGGCTCAGACGGAAGTCTTCTCTATAAAACAGAAGTTGGATAATGACTTAAAGCAGGAAAAGAAAAAGCTTCAGCAAAAACTGATAACTAAGAGAAGACGAGAAATGCTGCAAAAGGTACATAAGGCATTATGCTATTTGTTCTTGCCATAAACGTGTCTGAATGCTTACTGAGTGTCAGATACCATGCCAGGCATTCAAACCGTCAGAGAGATAGGATTGGAATGGTGGCTCAGCAGGCATCACGATGGATGTCTACAGTTGATTGGTAGTGACTTTGTGCAATGCTGTGTCAAGAAGGATTCTAAAGGTCCTGTCCAGCCTCAACTGAGCAGAAGATCATGGTGTATTAGTGATATCTGCACAGACAAAGGAGTAGAAGTGCTGGATTGAGTGAATAATGATGATGATGATGATGGTGATAGGCACTAACCACATTTCTTAACTGTTTAATTGTTGCTATTGCTGTTAATTGCTGTAGTGACTCATAGTGACCTTATGTATAACAACAAAACGTTGCCTAGTCTTGCACCATCTTCATGATCCTTGGTATGTTTGAGTCCATTGTTGTGGCTGTTGCATAATGCCTGCCAACCTAGAGGGCTCATCTTCCAGCACTGTATAGGACAGTATTCTGTTGTGATCCATATGGTTTTCTTTAGCTAATATTCAGAAGTAGATGACTAGGCCTTTCTTCCTAACCTAAGGCAGAGTATTTACTTAGCATTGTGCTAAATGTTATATATCTTGGTTAATCCTTATAATAGCCTTATGAGGTAGATACTGTTGTTTTCTCCAGTTTTTTTTTTTGGTGAAGACACTGGCTTTAGAGAGATTAAATAACATGGTCAAGGTCAAATATCTTGTAGGTGGCAGAAGTGGGATTTGCACCCAGGCCTCTCCTACTCAGAACCCGATCCCTTATCATCAACACTAGCTTGCCCAGCTGTCTGCCCTCATTGAGAGAGGAGGAGAGACCAACATGTAAATGCATAGATGTACTATAATGAGCTCTCCTCTCCATGTATATAACATGACTCACTAGCACAGAAAGGAAGTGACTCTGACCAGGAATACCAGGGAGCGTTTACAGAACAGGTTCTGTGTAAACCAAATCCTGAAGGATGATGTGTGTAGAGAAGGACATGACAGGCAGTGGGAGACTTCTTGTTCAAAGGCGGAGCAACTAAGGAGAGGGTACACTGCTGTGTTTGGGGAATTTGTCAAACGTGATGTGGCTAAACCATGTGGAGTGAGAAGGGCAGTGGCCAGAGAAGACCTGTCCAGGAGGCAAGGGCTAAGTCATGAAGGCATGGTGTGCCAAGCTCAGGAGTTTATCCTTCATCCAAGGACAGTGGGGAAC